TTGTGTGATTCGCAACTAAGGACTAATTGCATCGGGATAAGTAGGTTTCCCTTTGAACTTTCCGTAGTGAGCATATATCGGATATACTCGGTCAATCGGTAGATTTGATATCTTTGAACCGTCGAGCTTTAGTGTATACCTAGACAACATATGTCACACAATTAATCCTTATCCATCTTTAGGTTCTCATTGTTGTGTTCGTTTTAGCCATGAACGCCGCCTGGTTTCATAAGTGCATAGAGAATTGGCCTTACAACATTCTCTTTGAAGCGGCTTACACTTCACACTTATATAGGTGATTCCTAAACGTGTTACGTAGATACCCTATTTTATATACCCCATATCGAACTTAGAAATCATTAATAAGTCCTAACACTTTATCCTTGGTACTGAACATTGTCTGCATCACGAGAATAGACCAAAATGTTATTTGACAATGTTGAACCGTCACTAATGACTTTGTTTGATCTCCTTGAACCTAGATCTTGGGATCTCCAGTCTTCTTAGGTAGAGTTACCGCCATAGTGACTTGTCCTCGGCCATAGTCCCATTCCCTTTGATGACTTTTCAACTCCCTCTCTAGTTAGGCCTTTTGTAAGCGGATCCGCCTCATTATCCTTTGATCTTACATAATCAATAGTGATAATTCCACTAGAAAGTAGTTGTCTAACGGTATTATGCCTTCGTCGAATGTGACGAGATTTGTCGTTATACATAACGCTCCCAGCCCTTCCTATTGCTGCTTGACTGTCGCAATGTATGCATACAGGTGCCAAAGGTTTGGGCCAAAAGGGAATGTCTTCTAAGAAATTCCGGAGCCATTCAGCTTCTTCACCGGCCTTGTCTAAAGCTATAAACTCAGACTCCATTGTAGAGCGAGCGACGCATGTCTGTTTGGACGACTTCCAAGACACTGTTCCCCCACCAATAGTAAATACTTATCCACTTGTGGATTTTGTTTCCGTTGATCCGGTGATCCAATTTGCATCACTATATCCCTCAATAACTGCGGGATAATTATTGTAATGCACTGCATAGTCTTGAGTATATTTCAAATATCCCAAGACTCGTTTCATTGCTATCCAATGAGCTTGGTTGGGATTACTTGTGTATCGACTAAGCTTGCTTATTGCACAAGCTATATCAGGTCGTGTACAATTCATAATGTACATCAAACTTCCCAACACTCGAGCATATTCCAATTGAGATTTGCTTTCACCCTTATTTTTTGCAAGAATATGGTTTAAATCAATTGGCATTTTTGCTTCTTTAAATTCCAAATATTTGAACTTTTCAAGAACCATTTTAATATAATGAGATTGAGACAAAGCTAGACCTTGAGGAGTCTGTAGGATCTTGATTCCCAAAATTAAATCTGCAACTCCTAAGTCTTTCATATCAAATTTACTAGTAAGCATGTGCTTAGTAGCATTTATGTTAGCAATATCGTTACTCATTATCAACATATCATCCACATATAAACAAACAATAACTATTTGATTTGGAGTATTCTTAATGTAAACACATTTGTCACACTCATTGATCTTGAAACCATTTGACAACATTGTTTGGTCAAATTTCTCATGCCATTGTTTTGGTGCTTGTTTTAGTCCGTAAAGTGACTTAACAAGTCGACACACCTTCTTTTCTTTTCCGGAGACTACAAACCCTTCAGGTTGTTCCATATAGATTTCTTCCTCTAAATCCCCATTTAAAAAGGCTGTCTTTACATCCATCTGATGGATTTGAAGGCCATACACGGCGGCTAACGCTATTAACACCCGGATAGATGTAATCCTTGTTACCGGCGAGTATGTGTCAAAGTAATCAAGACCTTCTCGTTGTCTAAACCCTTTAACAACTAATCTTGCCTTATATTTGTCAATAGTACCATCAGCTTTCATTTTCCTTTTGAAAATCCATTTAGAACCCAAAGGTTTATTTCCCGGAGGAAGATCAACCAATTCTCAGGTATGATTACTTAATATGGATTCTATCTCACTATTGACTGCCTCTTTCCGATATTGTGCTTCCGAGGAAGACATTGCTTCTTTGAACGTTTGAGGCTCATTCTCAAATAAGAATGCCAGAAAATCTGGTCCAAAGGAAGTAGCTATCCTTTGACGTTTACTACGTCTTGGATTTTCTTCATCAAACGAACTTTCCTTTGCTTCTTCATCAAATGAACTTTCCTTTGCTTCTTCCCGAGGTCGCTTAGATTTTTCATTAGACGACTCACATTCCATTTTATACGGATAAATATTCTCAAAAAATTCAGCATTATCCAATTCAATTACCGTATTAATATGAATGTCGGGATTTTCTGATTTATGAACCAGAAACCGGTATGCCTTACTATTTGTTGCATATCCTACGAAAATGCAATCAACGGTTTTTGATCCAATTTTTACCCTTTTGGGTTTAGGAACTTGCACTTTAGCCAAACACCCCCACACTTTAAAATATTTTAAGTTAGGTTTCCTTCCTTTCCATTTTTCATATGGAATGGATTGTGCTTTGCTATGGGGAACTCGATTCAGTATTTGATTAGCTGTAAGAATAGCTTCCCCCCACAAGTTCTGAGGTAAACCAGAACTTATTAATAAGCCGCTCATCATCTCCTTTAATGTTCTATTCTTTCTTTCTGCAATTCCATTAGATTGCGGTGAGTAAGGGGCAGTTGTTTGGTGAATAATGCCATTTTCCAAACATATTTCTTCAAAAGGAGATTCATATTCCCAGCCTCTATCACTTCTTATCATTTTAATCTTTTTGTTTAATTGCGTTTCAACTTCATTTTTGTATTGTTTGAATGCGTCTATTACTTCATCTTTACTATTAAGTAAGTAAATATAGCAATATCTAGTACTGTTGTCAATAAAAGTTATGAAATACTTTTTCCCACCGCGAGATGGTATTGACTTCATGTCGCAAATATCCGTGTGAATTAAGTCTAAAGGATTTGAATTCCTTTCAACTGACTTATAAGGATGCTTAACATACTTTGATTTCACACGTATTTGACATTTCGAGTTATTGCATTCAAACTTAGGTAATACTTCCAAATTAATTATTTTTCTCAAAGTTTTGAAGTTGAAGTGGCCTAAACGTTCATGCCATAAATTATTTGACTCAAGCAAGTAAGAAGAAGCTGAAATTTTATTCATATCAATGGCAATTACATTGAGCTTAAAAAGGCCCTCAGTCAGGTAACCTTTTCCTACATACATTTCATTCTTACTAATTACAACCTTGTCGGAAACAAAAACACACTTAAAGCCATTCTTGACTAGAAGTGATGTTGAGACTAAAGTCTTCCGCATTTCAGGAACATGAAGAACATCTTTTAGAGTCACAATCTTTCCCGAAGTCATCTTCAAAGCCACCTTGCCCGTTCCTTCAATTTTTGCAGTAGCGGAGTTTGCCATAAACACTGTCTCATCGGGTCCAGCGGGAGCATAAGAAGTAAACAACTCCTTGTTAGCACAAACATGTCGAGTTGCTCCTGAATCAATCCACCATTCTCTAGGATTTCCGACTAGGTTGCATTCTGAAAACATGGCACATAGGTCGTCTATTTCATCATTCTTCTCAATCATGTTTGCTTGTCTTTTCTTCTTGTCTTTCTTTGGTACACGACATTCAGTAGCCTTGTATCCAACCTTTCCAAAGTTGTGGCAATTACCTTTGAACCTCTTCTTGCTTGGATAATTCGTTGATCCAGACGACTTCTTTCTCTTTTTACTCGTTGAAGCTTCCTCAACAATATTTGCACCCATTATTGTTGAATTTCCACGAGATTTCTTCTCAGCAGCCTTGTTGTCCTCTTCAATCCGTAGACGAACAATAAGGTCTTCAAGCGTCGTCTCCTTGCGCTTATGTTTCAAGTAATTCTTAAAGTCCTTCCACAGCGGAGGCGGCTTTTCAATAAGCGCCGCAACTTGAAACGCTTCATTTATGACCATACCTTCAATCATAAATTTATAATTAGTACAATAATTAATATCTTGAATAAAATATTAACTCGTTTTATACCTTCAGCAAGGAGGTCATGAACAATAACTTGCAATTCTTGGACTTGCGTTATGACAGATTTACCGTCAATCATTTTGAAATCCAGAAATTTGGCGGCCACAAACTTCTTAAGTCCAGCATCTTCAGTCTTGTACTTCTTTTCAAGAGCATTCCATAATTCTCTTGATGTTTTCATGACGCTATAAACGTTGTACAAGCCATCTTCCAGCCCACTTAAAATGTAATTTTTGCACAGAAAATCAGAGTGCTTCAAAGCCTCAGTAACAAGGAAGCGCTCGTTGTCAGGGGTTCCTTCAGGCACAACCGGAACATCCTCTTGAATGAACCTTTGCAGACTTAGAGTGGTTAGATAAAAGAACATCTTTTGCTGCCATCTCTTAAAGTCAACACCAGAAAATTTCCCCGGCTTTTCCGCTGGTGGCATCGCCGTTGCAGGTGCAGTAGGACGGCTAGGACCTGGCATCCCTGAAACTGTGTTAGCAGTAACAGTCACAGCAGGTTCAATTTGTTCCTCTCCGTTAGTCATTTCTGTCAATATGACACAAACAGGTTCAGTAAATGGTGAAGTATTTAATCCTTCAACCCAAAACAACACAGCGAAGAGATTATTCTTCAAATTGATTTTAATAAAGTGAAGAGATTATTCTTTAAACTTATTAGGAGAGTCACTTCGAAAATCAGAACAGTAAAGATATGTATAAACAATAAGATTCTTTAAGCTTGTTAGATCATCTGAAATTTTAAGTGAATAAAACCAGGAAAATAAATGAACAGAAATGGCAGAATTATGTTCCGAGCCCACAAATTCCTTGTGTGTCCTTAAAGAATCTTATCTCCTCACTGTTGCCCAAGGTTAACGGATAAATTCTTTCCAGGATAGAGCGGAACTTTCCAACTTAGAGGTAGCGACACTTCAAACCACTAAGTTATCAGCGAACTCAAAATAATGGTGGAAATCACACGACTTTGGCTTACTTTGTTTTGAAAGTAATGATGCAGAAAGAAGAAGGAGATGAAGCAGAAGATTTCAGGATGAAAAATTCTGAAGGAATGACTGCTTATTTATAGCCAACGAATTCTGGATTGAAAGGGTGTGAAAGTGGCTGTTCACACTTCAGGTGGCTATTCGTGAAATGCAGCCTCTATTTGGTGGCTATTCGTGAAACAACCTCTCTTTGGTGGCTGTTTAATTAACGCGGGCAAATTAAAGACGGAAATTAATTAATTTAACGTTACTAATAACGGTCATTCAATATATTAATATAAAATATTAATATTTAATTAATTAATTTCATTTTATTGGTCCAAAATATTAAGTCAATCAAATCAATTGACCGAAGCCGAAACCAAGCGACGACGGCGCGAGGCCCCTTCCTCTTAGCTCCTTTTAAGAGCTTAAGGAAGTGCTTCTATATTTAAACCCAACAAAATACTTGTCTTTAACCAATGAGGGACAAAGTGCAAAAGTCAAAGTTGCCTTTTCACCTTCTTTCCTCATTTCCCATTCACACTACCACTTCAACCCCAACACAAGTAAGTATTAATAACTCGAATGAATTTAAGTTGTATACACTGACAGCGTAAGTTTTTTTTATCTTTTACACTGTCGGTGCATAAAACTTAAACACTAACGAGAATAAAAACATGAATAGATTAGGCACCTCTTGATAATGTATTTGCCTAAGTATCTGCTGCCGGAAAGCGAAAATTGGCAAGCAATCATCGAGCCTACGACACTCTCTCATCATCAAACAATGAATTTTATTCCAATCAAACTCTCTTCCAATCTTAAACACCCTTGAACTCTCTTCCTCTTCCTCAAAACCCTTCTCATCCAAATGCTGAATAATACATTCAATCCCTACTCAACTCCTTTATCCTCTTCCTTATCAAATCCCTCTCCTTCTCAAACCCCTCCTTATTCTTCATAATCACATTTTACACCCTCAAGTTATTCCTATTCTTTAGTAATTTGTCCAATTTTGTAATTTCATCGCACGCCAAATCCAATTTGTTCTCCCACTTTTGTAACAATTCACCCTCTACTAACAACAATCCCTTCAACTTCTCCAAAAATACCAATTTTACCCTTTCCGTCAACTCATCCTTATCAGATGAAACCTCAACATTTCGTTTCACCCACGGCCTAAACAAATTCCCGCCTTCGAGCCTTATTCTCCATAATTCCACAATCACTTCAAGCGCTTCACTCCATTGATCGTACAGCAGTGACCCGAAAATGAAACCTTTCATAAACACAAAAGAATTTCGAGGGGCAAACGGTAATTTCTCAATTAGAGCGTTCAATTCGGAACGGCTGATTCTCCGGTGGTTACTACGGGAACGAAGCTGGACTATGAAATTTGGCGGCTTGTGCCAATTCCCCGGCGGCCGATCAAGCTCGTAATTTGAAGCATAATATCCAGGCCTATAGGGCCGGTGATTCGCCGGACGGTAACTGTGCTGCGGATACATCCCCGACGCCTGGAACCGGCGGTTGTAGGAAGAAGAATCAGGTGTATGCATTGTACGATAAAAACCATAGAAAAAAGTCAGTGTATCAACAGTTACATACAGAACTTGTGACAGTGTACAGTTCAGTGAAGAGACGTGCAAACTAGGAAGGGTTTTACATTTTGTTGAAGTTGATTTAGAATTGAAATTAGCGCCTTCTTCCCTCTTCCGAGAATATAAAAAAATTGAATTTTCTTTTATTAAGTTATACTCCATCCATCGGCTAAATATTATTTTATTAAGAAGAGAAATTTAAAATTAAAATTATTATTAATGCGAGATATTCATGATATTTCGAGTGTGATCAGACAACCAAAAATGACTGAATCCATAAACCTAGAAAGTCCGCCGTCACTGGTACTTTTTTATTTTAATTTTACTCTATAGGTAGGTATCGGCGTTGAAATCCATGAAACAGAGGGAGAGGGAACAGTCCTAGCCTTCTTGACTTCTCAAATTGAAGTCGAATGGGCTTGGGAGAAGTTTCAATCACCATCAGCCATTGCTTTACCTTTGCATGGCAAACTATCCTATGAAGAACAGCATAGAGTTTTTCTCAGCTATCCGGGGGAGAGAAAGGTAATATTCAGTACAAATGTTGCTGAGACATCATTGACAATTCCAGGGGTTAAATATGTTGTTGATTCTGGCATGGTCAAAGAAAGCAGGTTTGAACCTGGCACTTGCATGAGTATTCTGAGGATATGCAATGTCAGCCAGAGCTCTGCTAATCAACGGGCTGGCCGTGCTGGGAGAACTGAACCAGGAAGGCGTTATAGACTTTACTCAGAAAGTGATTTTGAGGCTATGCCTTGTCATCAGGAACCTGAAATTCGCAAGGTTCATCTTGGTTTTGCAGTGTTGAGGATTCTTGCTCTGGGCATCAAGAACGTACAAGATTTTGATTTTGTTGATGCACCTAGCGCTAAAGCTATTGAGATGGCTACCAGAAATCTGGTTCAGTTAGGAGCTGTTAGGCAAAAAGATGATGCTTATGAATTAACTACAGATGGGCGAAAAATAGTCAAGTTGGGTATTGAACCTCGGCTAGGCAAAATGATCCTGGGTTGCTTTAATAAACATTCGAGTAGAGAAGGTGTTGTTCTTGCTGCTGTTATGGCTAATTCGGGCAGTATTTTTTGTAGGATTGGTTCTGAAGGAGACAAGCTAAAATCTGATTGCTTGAAGGTGCAATTTTGCCATCCAAATGGTGATCTATTCACTCTACTTTCTGTTTACAGAGAATGGGAGGCTGTGCCTAGGGAAAGGAAGAATGGCTGGTGTTGGGATAATAGCATCAATGCCAAATCCATGAGGAGATGTCAGGAGACTGTGCAAGAACTGGAAGCTTGCCTCCAGAACTAACTTAATATTATTATTGCAAGCTACTGGCGTTGGGATCCTCAGGTGCATACCGAGCATGATGAAACTTTGAGAAGTATAATACTTTTTTCACTTGCGGAGAATGTTGCTATGTATTCTGGATATGATCAGCTAGGTTATGAGGTAGCACTAAGTGGGAAGTATATCCAACTACATCCATCCTGTTCACTGTTAAATTTTGATCGACGACCTACCTGGGTAATTTTTGGTGAAATCCTTGCTGCAGCTAATGAGTATCTGGTCTGTGTTACGGTATTTGAGTTTAGTTCTCTTTGTACTCTTAGTTCTTCCCCGTTGTTTAATTTTCTGGAGATGGATGCCCAAAAGCTGGAAAAGAAGGTTTTAACAGGTTTTGGGAGCATGCTATTGAAAAGATTCTGCGGAAAATCTAACAGTAGTGTCAATAACCTTGTTTCACGCATTAGGACTAAACATTTGGATGAAAGGATTGGCATTCAAGTTAATGTTGATAAGAATGAGGTTATGTTATATGCTTTGTCCAGTGACATGGATCGTGTTTTGGGCGAAGTGAATGATGCACTAGAGTATGAAAGCAAGTTGTTGCAGAATGAATGCTTGGAGAAATGCCTATTCAATGGTGGATCAGCTGCTTCTGCCTCAGTTGCCCTCTTTGGAGCTGGTGCAATTGTTAAGCATTTGGAGCTTAAGAAGAGATTCTTGGCTGTTGATATATTTCATTCAAATACAAAAGCAGTTGATGATAAGGAACTGCTGATGTTTTTGGAGAGAAACACATCGGGTGATATTTGTGCACTGCTCAAGTCCTCAGGCAATTGCCACGACAATGAGGAGAACAGATGGGGCAGGGTAACATTTCTTTCTCCTGATGCTGCTAAACAAGCTACATTGTTGGATCAGGTAGAATGTAGTGGTGGCTTTCTAAAAGTTGTTCCTTCGAGGAGTGTATTCTGTAATGACCAAAAGCAGTTTACCTCTGTTCTCAGAGCTAAAGTTTATTGGCCTCGTAGATGCAGTAAAGGTGTGGCTATTGTAAAATGTGAACCAAACGATGTTGCTTTTATAGTAAATGATTTCTCTAGTGTAATGATAGGTGGAAACTTTATCCGTTCAAAGGCAAGCAATAAGTTCATTGACAGCATAGTAATTTCAGGACTTAATAGCGATCTTTCTGAACCGGAGATATTTGACGTTTTGAGTGCAGCAACGAATATGAAAATTCTGGATTTCTTCTTGGTGAGAGGAGATGCTGTGGAAAATCCTCCAATTGCTGCTTGTGAAGAAGCACTTAGGAGAGAAATATCCGCCTTCATGCCTACAAGAATCCCTTTAGTCCAGTCTATTCGGGTTCAGGTCTTCCAACCAGAACCAAAGGACACTTACATGCGAGTGACTGTCCTGTTTGATGGAAGTCTGCATCTTGAAGCAGCTGAGGCTTTGGAGCAAATTGATGGCAAGGTTTTGTCTCGATGTCTTCCCTGGCAGAAGATAAGATGTCAGCAACTGTTTCACACCTCTGTTTCCTGTCCTGCACCAGTTTATCATGTTATTAGGACCCAGCTGGATTCTTTACTTGCACGTCTCCGGCGAAGAAAGGGTATCTTTTACTGCTCTAAGTTGTATTTCTTCTCTCTGATTGTTTTTTTTGAAAATTTTAATTTAATTAACTATCTAATCTGCTGAATTGCTTCTTAAAGGCATGGCAATGTGGGAAATAAACTATTGAGCAGCGGCTGAAATGATATCTAATTTAGGTGGCAGAGTTAGTGTACCCTATTACTACCGCTAATGCAGATTGCTACTGTCACTTTTTTGTTTCCTTATTCCTTGACCAGAATGAAATTGGACATGGAGAAATTCACCATTTTAAAGTAAATATATGTAGAAACTAAATAAAATCTATGAATTGAAACGATTTGCTCCAAATATCAAATTTTGTCTGAAAATATCACCATCAGAGTTAAACAGTTGACTTCTGATAAAAGAAAAGTCAGACAATTTGGGGTGGAAATCGAACTTTTTCTTTCTCTGTGTGTCTGTAAGTTTCCTTTTCTTTTTGTGCTAGATGACTTTGAAAAAGGAGCCTTGATTCTTTATGGTTATATGACAGTACAAAGTTATTTACAAAGTGCCTGAGCACTATCACAAACCCTTACTCTTCTCCTAGATTTGATGTTAATCTGATGATTACTTTCCTTGTACTACCCAGATTCAACTTAAATATCACTTGTCTGGTCAAATTCTAAATGGTAACTGAAAAAAGCATTCTTGCATACTGCAGATTCCCCTCTCTCTTGCTCCATTCTGGAGATGCAGAAAACATAGTTGGATATAAGGAGAAGGGGGTATGTTCTGTAAAACTCTTTTTAGTAAAAGTGAGCTTTTTGTAAAACAATTTTTATTTTTAAATAAAGAGAAAACAAAATTATTCAGAGACATTGATTATTGATTAGGGGGTACTTGGCTGCTGAGAAAACTTTGGATTGCTTTGCAGGTGTGGAGTGCAATCTGGAGAGAAATGAAAATGGGTCTTATAGAGTTAAAATATCTGCTACTGGTACAAAGATTGTGGCAGAATTGAGAAGGCCATTGGAGCAACTTATGAAAGGCAAGATTGTGGATCATGTGGGAATTTCTCCAACTGTTGTTCAACATCTATTTTCAAGAGAAGGGACTAATATTATGAAGATGGTTCAGCGGGAGACAGGAACCTATATTCTTTTTGACAGGCATAGTCTTTATGTGAGAATCTTTGGTTCCTCAGACATGATTGATATGGCCCAACAGAGTTTTGTTAACGCCCTTTTGGCACTACATGAAAGCAAGCAACTTGAAGTGCATCTTTGTGGAGGACTTTTGCCTCTTGACCTGATGAAAAGAGTTGTTCAGAGGTTTGGACCAGATCTTAGTGGTCTCAAACTAAAGGGGCCCGATGCAGAATTCTCTCTGAACACTAGGCGCCATTGCATCTCTATTAGAGGTACTAAAGAGATGAAGCAAAAAGTTGAGGAGATAATTGCTGAAATTTCTCAAACAAGTGGGCTTCCAAATTGAAGGATGGATGATGAGGCTGACTGTCCTATTTGCTTGTGTGAATTCGAGGATGCTTATAGACTTGAAGGTTGTACCCACGTCTTCTGTCGATCATGCTTGCTGGAACAGTGCGAGTCTGCAATCAGAAGCAAAGAAGGTTTCCCGCTATGTTGTATGCATAACGGTTGTGGAGCACATATGCTGCTTGCTGATTTGAGGTCTCTATTGTCAAGTGAGAAGTTGGAAGAACTTTTCAGGGCTTCTATAGGGGCTTTTGTAGCAGCAAGCAGGGGTCACTACCGGTTTTGCCCCTCACCTGACTGCCCGTCAGTGTATTGTGTTGCTGAATCAGGAGTGGTTGGTGCACCCTTTGCCTGTGGTGCATGTTATGTGGAGACGTGTACGAGCTGCCACCTAGAATATCACCCCTACATCTCGTGCGAGAAGTACCGGGAGATCAAGGATGACCAAGATTTCTCTCTAAAGGAATGGTCCAAGGGGAAAAAGAATGTAAAGAAATGTCCTGTTTGCGGGTTTACAATAGAGAAGGTGGATGGTTGCAATCATATCGAGTGTAGGTGTGGAAAACATGTTTGCTGGGTTTGTTTGGTATTCTTCAACAGCAGCAACGATTGCTATAACCATTTAAGGTCTCTTCACCAGGCCATTATATGAGGTACAAATAACTATAATTCAATAACATAGGTGTAAATATCTGCTTCTGCATATATTCCCGGACCCTTATATGTATGTACATAAACAAATAAACAAGTAAATAAATGTATGTAGTATACACAATCGTAAGCCATCTTTATATCCCTAATACAAATGTTTATTTCTGCCCGCTTACATGACGTGATTGCATAATCTTTAATCCTGGTCCGATTAATTCACATTTGTGCATAAGGCTCATTTAGAGAGAAGTACGTTTCACCAACAGTTTATCCATTCTCAAGGTTCAAATCCGAAACTTCTGGTTAAGGATGAATGGATCTTATTCACCCGCCACATCTCTTGGTGTTTTTTAAGGTTTTCGAGATGGCTGATTAATCTTGGCATGAGTTTACCTGGTCCATCTTTAGAGCTCGTGACTGCTACCTGCTGCATAAGATATTGAGTTTCTCTACAAAATATATAACGTGAGAGAGTTCTTATACTAAAACTTTTAATCCGTGATTTCCAACTCTACTCGTATTTCATTGTCGTTTCAGAAAATAAGCCTAATAAGTGGTAAAGGAAAGCTGATCACAGAAATTGCTATTATTTCAGCTAGGCATGCTGCGCTAATGACAATGATAATAAATGAAAATTTCCTGTCTCTGCTCTCCGCTCTCCGGTCATTTTGTTCACTTTGTAAGAAAATTTATTGAGAGAGAAGCTCCGAAATTTTCTATGCTAAACGTAAATTCAGAAACATTTAGAGTCTGTTTGGAAAATCACCCTGTAATTGGAATTGATGTAATTACTAGGTTAGCAATTACACAGCGTAGTAATTACACGGTTGTGTAATTACAACGACATGTTTGTTTGTCATAGTGTAATTATAAGTTTACTGTTTGGCCGTACTAGTGTAATTACACAGTTAGATTAAATTTTAAATTAAGTAATTATCAGAATTTAAAAGTTAATATAATAAGTATATGCCTATAAATTTTTATAAGTATAAATGATATTATATTTTGTATTTAAGATGTATATTTTTTGTGAATATACATTAATTTAGTAATCATATATTTATAAATAATACTGTAAAAATAATTTATATTTTTTTAAAAATTTAGTTTAGATACTTACAAAAATAAAAAAAATATACGTTTTGTAAGAACATTATGGAATTCATGTTTGATAAAATAAATTAATATTTACAAATATAATGTCATAACATTATTCAAATGTTTGACAAAACTAAACTATCAATTCTAACTAAAAAATGAACAACATGCAATGTGAGCCAATACTACTAAAACAAGTAAATTTGAACCATGAACATAACACATTTTTAAAATTAAAAATAAAATAAAATAGTTTAACATATGTCAAATTCCAACATAATATTAGTAAGTTCCAGTGCAACTTAATAATTAGGAAACATGATAAGTTTATAACCACATTCCACAACAAAATTCTACTTTAATTGCATCACTCATTATATGTCAAATTTGTTAATGACTCATTATTTCTAATATTAGGAGGTGTAGTTTAAAAAAATAGAATAATAAAATAAATAATAAATAAAATAGCAATTACATGAAATCACGAGAAGTAAAGATAGAGAAATAAAAGATAAATAATGTACAAAGAAAAGTATATTTTAAAATTTCAAAAGAAATTAAAAAGTAACAATAAAATTAAAAAATTAAATAATGCAAATAAAAATTATAAAGAAAATAAATTAAAATAAAAACAAAAAGGAAAGAAACTAAAAAATAACCTTGTAATTACACAGTGTAATTACCACCAATTCTCACCTCCCTTGAGAATTGGAGAGTGTAATTACATCCCTCCAACTACACCCAATTCCATGCTGACCAAGTAATTACTTGGCCAAATAAATATGCCAGTGTAATTACATTATTTACACCCAATTATACCCAAATCTATTTCCAAGGTGAGCTCTTATTAGTCTCACAGCTTTCAAATTTCAGTAGCAAAGAGCAAAAAAAAGAAGGTTTGAAGAAGAAGGAAGATAAATGTATTTATTATGATGAGAGAAAATGTAGCCTAATTAGGAAGTTAGAGATTAAAGAGAGATGGGAAATTATGGAGATGATTTTTCTTTAAATCTATATTAGTAAAGCGTATGATGTCGATAATCAGAGGTAGAGCATTCAATGGGTTAGGGTCGCCTCACCAACTCCGCTACAGGCCTTAGAATAATAGAAAAAATGACATTGTATAGCCGGTCTCAAAATAATAGTTATATATATATATATATATATATATATATAATTTGTATATTATATACAAAATTGATACGCTTTTCCGGCTAGTGAATGTAAGTAGTTTCTGGCACGGGGTAAAAATAATAATACCCAACGGATAATTTGTACAAATAGGGGTGGCGTGCAGGGTGAAACCAACTGAGGAAGGTGATGCCTGGGAAGTTCATATTTCAGAAGAAAAAAAATACTAATATCATATAGATTCATAGTACACGTATCTATATATGTAAAGGACAAAATCAATAAAGAATTTCAGTAGTATTTGATTTCGATTACATATTTCTAGATCGTAGTATTCTAAATAGCTTCTGTTCAAACGAGAGAAAATAAAAAGTCGATATCTGAACTCCCTAAGAAGGAACGTGACATCAGGTCGAATTAGCATGTCATTATTTCAACTTCATACTTGATTCTTTTGTATGACAAAGATGATTTTTGTACTCTTTTTTCCTTATTGAAATTTCGACTAATTCTGATTCGGATCATGTAAAGCTTATTAAGAGAAAAAACGCTTCCTAGCTAGATTTTTTCATTTTCATAATTTAAACACAATACCTCTGATCAAAGACGGATAGATGATTCTCGAGAAGCTAAGAGCCAGATTAAATAAAACAAGATCGTTCCTCTTTGGTTGATTGGCGTATATATTTAAATATATCATTATATATACATCAACTTTTTATAATGGACTATGCTGACTTACCAGTCAAAGAAATAACAAAATTTCTTTTAAAAAAATAGAATATTGGCCCTACCTGCACCGACTAATGTTATCACCCATTGAATGAAGTAAGGGCCAAAATATTACTAAAAGAAAAATCTACTTAGAATTTATGCTTTTAACAATTGTTGAAGAATGTGTTTTGCAGAAGCCCATTTCACCACTTAAACACTAGTTCTTCACTTAGTTGACCTACCTTTTTGGTATTTGTGACTGACCAAAGGCCAAGTGTAGACATAGGAAAATACTAATATGAAGAGACATTTTTAAGTTTTGGATTAAACAAATAAAAAAATTAAATAATATAGTGGCCAATGATTGTGCTTATGAAATTCTAGTATTTATTTTTATTTTTATTATATGTAATATTGGCTATATGACGAACATAAACGGAAAAATATGATCAGAGAGAATTAGTATAACTGATCGTACAAATGACACCGGATAGCCATTCTAAAGAGCCGCTATTTAGGAATTAGCCAGTTCATTCTAAATTTCAGTTTAATTTTTGAGAACAAAAACATCCTGAATTATCTTGAAGTTAAGAGTTTTAGTTTAAAATTTTAAGACAAAATAAGTATTGGCTCTAAATAGTATTCCTAAAAAGACTAATTGTGCACTTAGATTCTTCTATCTTTTCTAGAGTTAATAATTCGACTCTTATAGTTCCCTTAACTAAGCAACTGCCTAGGAGTCACCGGCTCATTCTTCAACAAGCACGCTATGACTTTGATGAATAAAATTCAATTATTTCTGGAAAAGACTAGATTTTATTTAGAGAAATTTTCACAAACCACTATTGTTTAGTGCTTATTAGCTAGTTGTAGTTACCATTTACTATATTACTTCCTATAGCTATGTTTTCAGTTTTTTTAGAGTGTATTCGATGTATTTAAGCTACTGTATTCATGAATACAGTAGCAAAACTCGGCGTGAAACAGGGGATTCCAGCTAGACAATTATTGTATTCGACTGTATTCACGATATGTATTTGTGAATACAATAACATAAATAGCGCAAATCATGGTCTATTCAGTTATTTTTAAACGGAAAGTGAATCAATTGACACAATAGACTCCTAATATAACTCAACTAACTCAATTACATCATCCATAATCTGTATTTGACGCGAAATATGCTGAATTTTCAACCAATAAAATTCGAGATTCATCTATAGTGCAAAAAACATATGAATACATATTGCAGATACATTTGAATACATAAATTATATTAATTAAAAAAACATATGAATACATTCATGGAATACAGCGAGACAGTGAATACAATGAAATACATGGAATACAGCAAGATACATTGAAATACAATGAAAAAAAGACAATAAATACAATGAAATACATAGAAATACAGCGAGATACATTGAAATACAATTAAAAAAAAGGTAATAGAATCTTCAAGTTGCTCAGCCCCAAACTCCGTCGTCTTTGTTCAAGAACAACCCTAATATCGTCTCGTCGAGAGGGCCGCGATTCTAACTCTAGCGAGGCAATAAACGAGATAAATGAAGAATTACCAAGCAGCACCAAGCACTGAAATGCCAATGGCAATGGCAATTCCGATGGCCGAGAAAGTGTAAGGAGAGATCTGTACCAAAGCTCGCGACCATGAGCTAGATGGACCCGCCATTGTTGAAGGGATTGGTTTTCACACAAAACGATCCTGATTTAGCTATTATACAATTTGCAACAAACAACCATAGACCTCATTCTATTACAACTTCTAGGTATTCGGAATTGAGGAAACCGTGATTTTGGCTTGGCGTGAGAAGAAAGAGCGGAGATTCGCCGCTGATGGTGGTGGCGGCGGAGAAGCTTTCCAGGAGGAAGAACGATCGACGGAGGAACTGATGAGAGAGAATCCATGAGTTTGTATTCATGGAGAAAACTGGCGTTGGGAGAGAGAGAGGGTGGAGAAAAATCTAAAAGAATGAGAGAGAAAAATAATACAAATCGTATTTTATGGCTTAAGGGTAGGAGGTGACCATAAATAGATATTTGACTATAAAAATCAAAAGGTAGCTATAGAATATAATTTTTTAAAATAGTATTTATCTAAAATAAATAAGATATCAACCTCTGTTATAGGAGATAAAAATTCCATTTATTTATGGCCCTACCACTGCACAGTCCACACCGTCTACTGCCACCCTTACAATAAAGGCCAAATTA